ACAGTGGCTCATACCCCGCAACACTTTGGAGGCAGCGGCAGAGCAAATCACCCCCTGAGGTCCTGGAAGTTGGGAGACAACTGACTCCCAGCAGCCTTGATGGCTCTTGTCTCTAAATAAAACAGCTGGGTGTGGTGGTGGGTGCCTATGTCAGCAGCCTCTCCCAGGAAGAGAGCCTGAAGGCCCAGGCTCTGTTAGACCACTGGGAGCAGAGGTTTATGAGAGGCAGTGTGGCGCTTTCCAGCCCTGAGCAGCAGTGAGACTCGTCTCAAAAAAAAAAAAAAATTTTAATAGGTATACTATTTATGTGTGAGTGTGGTGTGTGTGTGTGTTCATGTGTGTGTTGCCTGGCGCATAATCCTGTCTCTACTGAAAAAGCAAAACAAAGCAGGTGGTATGAGCAACACAGGGCCCAGACCAGCCTCAAGGCATGTTGCAGCGGCTGGACAGGACTGCTGGAGTAGAGGTTCTAGATCCATGAGCTGTGATAAGACCCTGTCTAAAAAACATGTAAACAATGTTAGAATTGCGGTACATGGTGGTGCACGCCTGTAGTCTCTCAATTACTTAGGAGGCGGCGGCTGGTAAAAAGGCACAACTTAGCTCAGGAGGTGGAAGTTACGTGAGCAGCCCTGGACTCCAGCCTGGGCAACAAAGAAATCTGTCTCAAAAAAAAAAAAAAAAAAAAAAAAGAGCGCTCCCCTGATGCTTGAGCAGCTTTGCTGTCAGCTGCTGAAGAGGAGGAGGAGAGGAACACAGGCTTCATCAGGGACAGCAGAGACCACTGTGACCACCCGAGATGGAAACACCTGACCACTTTCTGGCACCACAGAGCCATCTCAAGTCAGGTGTGCAAGGTCTGCGTAGGACCACCTACAAAAATGCAGCTCCATACACTGCCCACCAGATTACTTCTAAGGAGCAGAGAGAGAGTGACGGCGTGGGCTAAAAAGATGAACACAACTGTGTGCCAAAGTGCCCACAACATAGAGGCTATTCCTCAAATCTCTAATTCAAGAGACAGTCACACTACCGTACTTTATGGAAGCCTAGAAACCTTAGGTTCATCTCTTACTCCACTCTGGCGAGCTATCTGGTGGGAAGCAGGCAGGAGGGCTCACCAGCCTGGAATTTCTCTGGTGTCCTTGTGAAATCAGACAGTGGTCAACTCAGCCACTGCGCGCACAGTCTCAGGCGGAAGAGTTTCAAATGGAGAAGAAGAGGAACAAGAAAGGGGGAGAGAGAGCAGGCCAAATGGACAGTGTCCCGTGTGGAGAAATTATGCAGCGAGGGCTCAAGCGAGCTCCAGAGGCAGAGTGCGCCAGCGCCCCCTCACTGGGAGGCTGTGTGCCAACCTGTGGAATTGGTTATGGGAAGTTCCCTAGTTAATTCCCCTGAGCCCTGCATGCGTGGGTCCTACTAATTATGCATTTATTTATTTATTTGTTTGTTTGTTTGTTGTGTGGTATTATACTCCTCTCCCCCTCTCTCTTGCCCAGGCTGGAGTGCAGTGGTGTGATGATCACAGCTGCAACTACCTCCTGGTTCAAATTCTTATTATCTCAGTCTTAAGCAGCTAGTTAGTGTGTGCCTACCCTGGTGTATTTTTAAATATAGTGAGTTTCATGTTGTATTGGTTCGAACTCATGACCTCGATGATCCATCTGCCTTGGCTTCAAGGGCTGATTACTAGCGCAGGCTACCATAAGCCCAGCCTAGTATATGTATTTTAAGACAGACAAACCAGCCCTCAAAGGCAACAAGCTATGACCCTGGTCACACAGCAGAGAGAAGAAGGAAGCTGACCCAGGTGTCTGGAAACCACACAGTGGCCTTCAAACCGTCTGCCCCCTCCCAGCAGGGGCCCAGCTCATGGGGAGGAGGGAGTCGCGCAGCCCTCACTCGGAGTCAAGGGTCCTAGGCCGGGCGGTGGCTCCCCGCCTGTAATCCCAGCACTTTGGGAGGCTGAGGTGGAGTAGCCACAAAGTCAGGAGATAATCTGTCCCTGTTGCCCAAAGGAAGAAGTGAAACCATCTACTAAAAATACAAAAAAAAAAAAATTGTGGCTGGGTGTGGTGCTTTCCCCACCACACAGTCCCCAACCTGGAGTATGAGGCAGGAAAAGCTTCTTGAACCTAGAAACCAAGGTTGCAGTGAGCGAGATACTGTTGCAGCCTGCACCACCCAGGCAACAGAGAGAAGCGACTCCGTTCAAAAGAGAGGAGTCTAGATCTGCATGGGGGCAGAGCACAGCTGGGTCACTGCAGTCCTCACCCTCTCTGGGCTGAGCACCACCTCAATGAAGAGAGCTTCTGCCGGGCTGCTACTCACTGAGGTGCTGAAACTCTCTGAAGAAAACGTGGCCCCACAGACAAGTCTCAACATGTCAGTCCTTACTGCATGGACGAATCTGCTGTCAGAAACACAACACCCTCATTACATCCCAATATGTCTCTGCAATCCTTCGCTGCAACCTCCCTCCACAGAGACTTTGCCACATGTTAAATGCTAGTCTCGAACTGGAAGCTCAGAGAATCCTGCTCTCCATCCCAAATTCTATATGGGATCCACAGGTGCTTCCACAATACCCGATAAAAAAGGATGTGTGCATATGTTGGCTCATTTCATTCTAGAGTGGTTTCACTTTTTTTTTTTTTTTGAGTCTTGCTCTGTTGCCCTAGGCTGGAGCTGTGGTCGATCTTTGGCCCTCAGGTTCAATGATTCTGCCTGCCTCAGCCTCCACAATGCTGAATGACATGCCATCATGCCAGCTAATTTTTGTATTTTTTTGTAGGGAGGCAGGTGTGTGTCGCTAAACTCCTGAGCGATCGGCTCGCCTCCCAGTGCTAAGGATAGTCGCGCAACAATTCAACATAATTGACTCTGGTTCTCACCGGGTGCCGTCCTAGAAAATAGAGATGTAGAGGCTGGGCGTGGTAACTCAAGCCGTAATCCCAACACTTTGGGAAGCTGAGACAGGTGGATCACAAGGTCAGAAGTTCAATATCCTGGCCAATATGGTGAAACCTCAGCAATACAAAAAATTAGCCAACTGTGGTAGCAGATGCCTGTAGTCCCAGCTCCTTGGAAGACTGAGGCATGAGAATAGCTTGAACCAGGAGGCGAGGTGCGGTGAGCTGAAGCAGAAAAAGGATCGTGCACCACACACCACTCCAGTCTGGGTGACAGAGGAGAACTCTGTCTCAAAAAAAAAAAAAAGATGGTAGGAAGATTGGGGTCTAAATGCACATATCAGGAAAAATCATCTGAAACCACTTTTGGCCTGAGGCCCCCTATCATCTGGTCCCCCATTGCCGGTGACATCCCCCTCTCGCTGGCTCTGTACGCAGCCTCCTTACTCGCGGGCTTTGTGTGTGTGGCTAGCCTGGCCTGGAATGTTCTTTTCCAATGTCTGCATGGCTCACTCCACCTTGAGCATGTGCTCCCAATGTGCCTTCTCCCAGCAAGGCACTTCCCTTTATTACCCAATTAAAATGAGTCCCTCCTGCCTCTCCGCCTTCTTACCCTGGCCTGTTTTCTCTGGCCCTTAACATATCATTCTCTGTCCTTTTCTTTTCTGCATTGTGTGTCTGTGTCTCCCACAGAGTCAGCTCCACAGTGGGTAGGGTTATTGTTAGTTACTTCTGTCCCCTGGCCCCCAGTACTCATGGCCCTCAATAAATATTGGGCTGAGCATGGTGGCTTATGTCTATAATCCCACTTTTGGAGGCAAGGCAGACAGTCTAGTCAGGGATCTGATTAGCCACACAACATGGCGAAACCCTGTCTCTACTAAATAAAATATTGGCTGGGCCGCAATTAGCTCTTAATCCCAGCATTCTGGGAGGCTGAGGCGACGAGATCACCCCTGAGGTCGCAGGATTCAGCCTGGCCAACTGAGCCCTATCTCACTAAATAAAAATTAGCCGAACTGGTGGCAGGGCGCCTGTAATCCCAGCTCGGTAGGCTGAGGGGCAAAAATATACGACTCTGCTTTCTCATCACAAATGGGCCTGGGCCAGGTGTGGTGAAATGCGCTTGAACCGGGGAGACAGGGTTGCAGTGAACCGAGATCATGTTGCATATCCGGACAAGAGTGACTCCATCTCTCAAAAAAAATATATATATACTATTATATATATATATAATAACCAGTTATTGGTATGTATACCTATAGTCCCAAATCGGGGAGAGGCGAGGCAGGAAGGAAATGCCTGCGCCCGATCCCAAGGCAGAAGGCTGTGGCGGTACCATTACGCGAAACACTGGACAATGGCAGGCGGAACGTCGAAAAATTTGACGGGTGACTCATTCTTCACCACGTGGGATTCTCAGCCCAGCTCATCAGTGGGTCTGAGCAAGTCTGTCCTTCCCTACCTGCCTCTCCAGACACCCCTGACCTCTGTGTTGTGAGCTCACAGTTCCAGGCTCCCCACTGGGGCCTTTGCCGTGCTATTGCCTGCCTCGGCGCTTGTCCCCTAGAGGTGACATGGTGGCTGCATGGCGCACCGAACCGTTTGTGCGTGAACGCACCTCGCTTCAGCACTATCTGTTGCCAGGATCATCCTGTGCTGAGGCCCTGGACACCGTCTCTCTCTGTTACCTACTTCCTTGCCTCCAGCACCACAGGTGGAGTTCCATGATGGTTACATGATTGATTGCATTGCTTGAGTTGATTGCATCAAATCTGCTCCTCTGCCATGTCTAGGGATGTCCTCTCTCACACTGCCTTAGTGCAGGTTTCCCAGTGCCCCCAGGGAGCCGGGCTGGGCATGGCTGCACGTGACATACTTGTTGACCCCCTGGCAGATGACCAGGAACAACCTGTCCTCTTTGGAGCAAGACCCCACCCATGCTTCCCCAGGAAGAGACAGAAGAGGCTAGTGAAGAATGCACTTCTTAGAAGCAGCACACCCCTTGCCCAGCCCAGCCTTGCCAGAGCCTCTTTTCAATGTGGTCTTCTTCTGCTGAGACAGGAGTCTGCAGGCAAACCCCTTTATGTGCCGTGCAACGATTTTTGCAGGCATTCGCGATCTCTGAGGTTCTGTTGATGGACTTTCTGTGAGGGTGGAAGAGGAAGAAGTCCCAGGGAGGCTGGGGTCTGTGACCTGCTCAGGGGGCAGTGGCACCCGAAATAGTGACCCAGAGCCACAGGGGGAGTCCCAGGAGACCAGCCTGTCAGTCACCCCATCCCCACCTGTGGTGTGGTCTCCCAGGGTTATGGGTGACCCTCTCTGTGAGCCTCTGCCTCTCATCTTTGTGTAATAGGATCGGGGAAGGCCCGGGCACGCGGTGGCTCACACTTGTAATCCCAGCACAGGAAGCGGGGCGGGTGGATCACCTGGTGGGTTCAAGACCAGTCTGGCCAACGTGAAACCCTGTCTCTACTAAAAATATAAAAATTAATAGCCCAGGTGTGGTGGTACGTGCCTATAATCACCTCAGAGGCTGAAGAGGCACAGAATCGCTTGAACCTGGGAGGAGGCGGGAGGTTTCAGTGAGCCGGGTGCACCTGCACTCTCCAACCTGGTGGCAACCCCGGGAATAGAAACTCCGATCTTAAGTAAATAAATATGAAGGAGCCTGGGTTTGAGGTTAAAAGTAATGAAGCCAGCCTGGCAGCTTGCCTGGAGCAACAGCCTTGGCTCTGCACTGCCCTGGCGTGGGCCTTAACAAGGACACAAGGTGACCAAAGAGCGAGCAAGCCAGGCACAGCCACCACCACACGAAGCGGCGTCTGACCGTACTGTGAGTTTGTGTGGGACATGATCTCAGGCTGTGAAAACCTGGCTTTGCCTCCCGCCTAACAGGCGCCATGGAGTTACTGAAGGTGTCAAAAAGGACAATGGACCTCAAGTTCATCAAGGAAAAGGGTGAGATACATCTGTACAAGAGAGTGAAGGAAGCTGAACGTGTTCTGGCTGCTGTGAGAGGAACCACTGCCAGAAGAGAAAATGCCATCCCACAAAATAAAGAACGACTTGACAAAAAAGTAATAAAAGTCTGAGATCAGAAAGTAGACACAGCAAAGAAATATAATCATTAAATGCCAATGCTCTCTGATCATTGTGCTCTGTGGCGGTAAGAAGAAGAAGAAACCATATAGGAGAGGCAAGTGTGGTCTGTGTATGTTTACCACAGGGGAGGCATCTGTTTAGCTTTACCTGCAGCCGTCACCCTCCCCCTCTGATAACACCTCAATTTTCCTCTGAGAACCTCCTAGCTTTGCTTTATACTTGTGGTTTGCGGGAAGGTACCTTTTGCAATAATCAACATGCACACACACATTGCACACTTTGCATTTTCCACCACACGAGCATTCTTCCGCGTCCATCTATGGGCCTGGCTGGTCAGCATATTCTGCTCCCTAGACCACATGAGGATCAAACTGGCCAGTAATGACCAGAGGTTCAGAAATTCACAGAAGAGAGAAGAGGGTTTTCTAGCATTGCTAACCTGGGGAACCTGCACCGGGACTGCCTCCTCCATTTGCCTGCATGGCAGGGCTGGGCCAACACAGAAGAGAGACAAGAGACAGAGTCAGGCCAAGTCTCTGCTGAGCGGTAGAGTTCCTGGATCAGCTATGTCAAGAAGCTGGAACTACTGCCCCATGAGCTTTACCCAGTTACATGAGCCAACTTGTCTTTTTGGCAAGCCAGCTGGGTTGAAGAGTGTGGACTGGATGATCTAAAAACCTTTCAGTGGTGACGGTCCCCAACCTTTAAGCGATGTAGCAGCATCTCAAGACTGATTACAGAGTATTGGGCACCTCCCTGTCACAGCACAGGCTGGTTTCCCTGGCATCTGGGCCTTATCAGGATGATCCACCTTGTCATGAGGCTTGGGAGGCCAGGCTGGCTGTTGAAGCCTTTGCTCACCAACAGATGAGTTGAAGTCCGTTCTTAGCCCTCTAAAAGCCATCGGCCAGGTGCTAACAGGTATCACCCAATGACCATTCTCTGCAAGAAGACATGGCGAAATGACTCTTAGGAAAGCGAACTTGGCATCAGTTCTTTCAGGCGAGCTCGCTGTCGCAGCCTGAGGCACAACCAGTACAATCTTGGCTCCACTGCAACCTCCACCTCCCCGAGTTCCAGGCGATTCTCCTGCCTCAACCTCAAGTAGCCTGGGGTGAGCATGCCACCACACCTAGATAATTTTTTGTATTTTTAGTAGGGCGACAGGGGTTTCACCCATGTTGTCAGGCAATGAACTCTGACCTCAAATGATCCCCTGCCTCGGCCTCCCAAAGTACTATAGGATTACAGGGTGTGAGCCACGCGCCTGGCTAGAAGCATCTCAGTTCACAGGGGACTGCAGCGCCTGCTTCCATGCTCCTCTTTGGGGGCAGGGGTGAAGGGTGTGGAAGCAGTTTCAGCCCCCAAAAGCTGACTGAGCAGCAGAGAGAGAGGAACAGACCTGAACATGGCCTTGTGAAGCAGACCATCACTGCACATTGCCCTCATTCATGGCTCAAGCTGCAGAAGACCAATCTTAGAAGTAAGCACACCATTTAGGTCTTTATGACAACTGTCTCTTTTTTAACACTACCCCAAGCCTCTGTCTTAGCCGGTAAAATGGGACCACATAATATGTCAGAGGGGTGGTTACAATTATTGTTCTTGAGCCCAAATGGCCACAAAGAGAGACCTTTGACATGCAAGCTATTTGTCAGAAGTCGTCACATCCTATCATCTCCCCTGACTCAACCCATGATATTAGGTGCGGACGTTGCTGTGAAGCTCACCTGTAATCCCACTTGCCGGAGGCCAGGCGGGTGGATCAGCAGTCTGGGTTTTGAGACCAGCCTGGCCAGCCTGATGAAACCGTCTGCTAAACAAAAAAATTAGCTGGGCATGGTGTGGTTCCTGTAATCTCAGCTACTGGGGGAGGCTGAGGCAGGAGAGTCGCTTGAACTGGGAGGCAAAGAGGAGGTGCAGTGAGCCAAGATCGTGCCACCGCACTCGGCCTACCTGGGCGAAAACTCACCTAAAAAAAAAAAAAATATTGGTGCTTGTAATGTTAAGCTCGCTGAATGGAAAGTAGTATCAGGGGATTGGAGAACAGTCTGGCCTGCAGGAGTGGGACAGTGCACTGGTGTTCCCCACAGCTGGGGACAGGGGGAGCAAGGGTGGAGAGGGGCACCTGTTGTGTGCTCTGAGTGGACAACAGGAGGCAGGTTTGACCCAAGCAGAAGTGGGAGTCTTGGGGGCCTGGACGCAGGGCCTCCTGCTCAGCTGGGAGCCCAGGATGTGAGAGGGAGGGCAGAGGCAGCTCCCAGAAAGTCCCAGCCAACACCTTGTGGTAATGTGTAGAAACCCAAGAAACTAGCTCAGACCCTAGTGCTGGGCTGGTGGCTTGTTTCCCCCAAAGCCCAAGGGCGAGGCTTAGTGAACTACGGCTTAGTAACTGGGAGCAGCTGCGGCATGAAGAGGAGGCTTCGCTAAGGGCTTTATAGAAATATCTCCCAGCTTCTACAACCACCCAGGAGACAGTGTTGTATATATATATATATATTTGAGGCGGGTTTCGCCCTGTCAGCAGGCTGGAGTGCAGTGGCAATCTGCTTCCACTACCCATCTCCAGGTTGTATGTAGGTCGTGTCTTTGCCTTGTAATTTTGTTTTTTTTTAGAAAGTAGGCAGTTTCACCTTGTTGGCCAGGCTGGTCTCGGGCTTTCCTGACTCAGGTGATCTGCCACCTTGTCCATACTAGATTGCAGGCATTGCTCACTTGACCATTTGTATATATTGTGTTAATGGTGTTAACAAAGCCAGAGGGGGCTGTGCTCCCTCTTCCCCTTGCTTTCCCTCCTGGGGGCCCCATCACCCCCACCTTTGTGGGCAGACCTCTGCAGGTTTGCCATCTCAGGCTGGCAGAGGCGGTCAGGGCTGCAGCCTCGGGAAGAGAGGAAAAGCGGTTTCTGACGGGTAGGGTGACGGCAGGCGGGCGGCGGCAGGCGTGGGGCGAGCAGTTTGGAGGTGAGGCTACAGAGACGCTCCACCTCCACACAGCAGTCCCGGGTGTGCCTTGCCCAGCCTTCTTCCGTCACCTGGACAACCTCCTGCTGTACACCCAGTGCACCTGCTCTAGAAAGCTCTGGCCCTGTGTCGAGGTTCAGCTTGAAGGAGCACAGTGGCCACGAGAGCCCGCCCCACCGGGGCGAGGGATGCGTGCAGCCAGATGGCCAATCGGGCTGCTTCAGGTGTCACAGGCCAGGCGGGAGAGCCTCTGGGGCCCGGATGTTTCAGGTCTGGGAGGACTCAGTAAGTGTTCTCGAAAGCTGGCATGTGGATAGCTGAACGAGGCACGCCACAACCGCGGCCCAGCTGTGGCCAGGGTTACAGCAGTCCTTCTGCCTGTTGTGGCCTTGGTACTCGGCTGTTGCAAGTGCACCACCGAGCTCTGGGAGGCAGACAGGGCTGGGCTCAAGTCTGCTGCCTCAGCCACGGGCAATTATAGAGAAGCTGACTACTGAGCTTCGGTGAAGGCTCATCCTAAACAAGGACATGGGCAACCATTTGCAGACACCAATTGGTGATGGCCTCGGTGATGACAGGCATGCACGGCACGCCAGGATTCAAGCTCTGCTCTCGCGCTTTTGTTTTTTAACTGGGTTGGTCTTGCTCTGTCTTCAGGCTGTAGTGCAGTGGCGTGTGTGTCATCGGCTCACTGCAGCCTCTGTCTGGGATATTCTCTCAGCCTCGGTGGCACAGGCCACAGGCAGCCACCATTGCTCGTAATTTTTGTATTTTTGGTGGGAGATGAGGTTTCTGCCTTGCCCAGGCTGGTCTTGGTCTGAGCTCAGTGATCTACGCAACTCCCAAAATGCTGGGATTTGCAGGTGTGAGCCACCCGTGTGTGTCTTGGTGCATTACCTGTATACCATTTCACTCGGACAGCTTTTTGGTCAGGCCCCCTGGTACAGGTCAGAACAGAACTTATCACTTGCCTCTGGCTCAGTCTGTGTGTGACAGCATGCGAGCAGGGCTGGTGGGCCGCCTCTTTCTCCAGCCTCTCTCCTTGAAAAATTCATGTGTTATTTCGTTTCCTGCACCCACACTCTTAGCCATCCCAACAGAGAATTCCCCAAGCCCCGGGGAGGATGTCCCAGTGGCTCTGATCTTGGGAGTACCTGCTGACCGCCTGGGAGGGGAGACCTAGCTGAGAGGGGCAGGAAAGGGGGGAAGGGCATGCAACACCTCAGCTTCAAGGACAGAATGGGACAGTATCAGGGCCTGGCCTCTCCTGTCTGTCTCTCATTTACATCCTCTTGTCTCTGTCCCCCTCCCACCCACCCCCAGATTCAGCTCTTGGGAAATGGCCTTATGTCCAATCATTCATCTTAGTATAAAATTTCACTCAGTTCCCAAGTGAGCCATCTGACTGTGAATAAAGCCCTATGTCTATGGCAAAGCGAATTTCGAAGGAGTGGGGTGGGGGGTCCAGGTGGGGGTGGGCACAGAGGCATCATTATCCTCTTTCACACAGAGCCGCCCTCACCGGGTGTCTGCCTGGACAGTGTGGCTGCACTTCCATCTGCTTCGATTTTGCAGAACAAGGCCAGGTGGGGCCTGTTGTCATGCTCCAGCCCTGCCTGGCTCCCAGACCCCAGGGAGCTCACGACAGGCAGAGTTAAAAATAGTGCACGCTTCCCGTTGGCGTGGGCAGCTTCTTCTTACCCTCACAGGGGGCCACACCCAGAGGCGGTGGGGGTACCAGGGACCTCTGAACCAGCCCGGGCCTTCCTCTGGAGTCCCTGACAATGGGTGGGGGACAGGAGGGGGTCCGGGATGCCCAGTATCCCAAGGGCTGTCTTTCCTATACTCTAGGACTTGGAGCTGCATAGGACCCTTAACTGTGTGAGGCCACACTGTGGTGTCAGAATGAATCTGCCCCTGATATCCCTTCCTCCCAAAGAGCTGATCCCAGGCATCCAGACCAGACCAATAAGAAAGGGGCCCCGTGAGGGCCTCTCTGTGTCCCTCTGGGGCCACCAATGAGGACATGTCCCGTGGATGGGATTTAATTTACAGGCCTGGCAGGAGAGGAAACTGCAGGCAGGGCCAGTTGTGAAATTTGTGGGTCTAGTGTAAATAAATGCAAGCTCTTTATTCAAAATTTATTACTTTTTAGAGGTACGGGCTGGGTAATGATGGCTCACACGTACCTGTATTATGCTAACTTGCCTGGCGCAAGGGAGGCAAGGAGGTGGATCACCTGAAGTCAGGAGTTCGAGACCATGGCCCAGCATGATGGAAAAACCCACAGTCTCACTAAAATAAAGTGGTGTGGTGGCATATGCCTGTGATCCCAGCTATGGGAGGCTGGGTAGGGAGAATCACTTGAACCCGGGAGGTGGAGGTGCAGAGGAGATGAGTTGTACATTACTTTTGCACTCCAAGCCATATGGTGACAAAAGCAACTCTGTCTCAAAAAAAAAAAAAAAAAAAAAAAAAAAAATTGGCCAGGCGGTGGAAACCAGGCATAATCCCAGCAGCACTGGGAGGAGGCCGAGGCGGTGGATCTGCAGTGTGGAGATCCAGACCATCACCACAGCACGGTGAAACCTATGCTACAAAAATACCCAAAAAACTAGCCTTGCGGGTGGCGGGGGCGCCTGGTCCCAGCTGCCACGAGGGAGGCGAGGGGGCAGGAGAATAGAGAGGCACACCGTGAACCGGGAGGCGGGACTGCAGTGAGAGTCAGTCACTGCACTCCCAGCCTGGGTGACAGAGGCTCAGTCTCAAAAAAAAAAAAAAAAAAGATTAGCCCGGTGTGGTGGCCAATTGCCTGTAGTCCCAGCTGCCAGGGGCTGAGGCAGGAGAATCGCTTGGGCCTGGGAGGTGGAGGTGCAGTGAGCTTCGTTGCACCACTGCATGCCTGGGCTGACAGGCAAGATGTCTCAAAAAAAAAAAAAAATTTATTAAAATTTCTCACTTGGACCGGGCACGGTGGCTGACACCTGTAATCCCGCGCTTTGAGAGAGGCTGAGTGGGTGGATCACCCCTGGTCAGGCGTTTCCAGACCAGACCCAGCTGGGGCAGTCTCTACTAAACCACAAAACTTAGGCCAGGCGTGGTGGCTGCATGTGTGTCTGTGTCAGCGCACACAGGAGGCAGGCAATTGGATCTACACAGGTCAGGAAGTTGTCAAGACCAGCCTGACCAATATGGGCCTGTCTCGTGCTGTAATCCCAGCTATAAGTCTGAGACAGGAGAATTACTTATGAACCCGGGAGGCGGGAGTTTGTGGTGACCGAGATCACTGCACTCGGCTGGGCAACAGGACTGTCTCAAAGAAAAAAATATGGAAAGTGTATGGTGTGTAGTCCTCCCAGCCCCAGCTACTCGGAAGGCTGAGGCCGAGTCTTGAACCTGGGAGGCAGGTGCATTGTGAGCCCAAGATTGCGCTGTGCACCCCAGCCTACCTGGGCAAGCGGCAAACATAAGAAAAAAAAAAAAAAAAAAAAAAAAAAAAAAAAATTTAGGGAACTGGGGTGGAGGTGGTGAATCAGAAGGTCAAGCTGCAGTGGTGCACCACACTACAACCTGACAGAGTGAGACCACAAGCTTTCTATGCTTTGACTGAGCATTCAATTGCCATTGATATGAGCTATGTCTTGAGCTGCCCACATGGCTGCAGGTCTGCAGTCTGCCACCCTCCTTCCAGACCACAGGGGTCCCTGGTGCTTCAGTGGACCAGCCTCTCCCAGGGCACAGCATGCACCGGAGAGTGTCTTGGCTTCCCAGGCTGTGGCCCCTAGCGGAGTGTCTGTGACCTTCCCCAGCCTTGATCACAGCAGACCCCTACAAAGAGTGAGACTCTGGTAAGAAACCCAGGACAGAGCCTGATAGGTGCTCTGCAGACATCTGCTCGTGAACGGGATTCCTAAGATGCTTTCATGGGACACTCCAGTATCAACCCACAGGGTCTGGCACCTGTGGAGGGGCCCCAGGGGGGAAAGGGTTGGTGAGCTGGGTGGGCGACCTCTGGTGGCGGGGTGCAGGTGGGGTCCCATCCCAGCAGCAGCACCTGGGAAAAGGCTTAGGACCACACAGGAGGAGGGGACCTGGCCTGGTCTGGCGGCGTCGAGGTCCTCCCCCGGGACCACAGCAGTGAGAGGTCAGTGCCTGCAGGTGATTCATGAGGCTGGAGGTGGGCGGGAACTTTGCAGGAAGAAGACACGTGAGGCCCTGAGGCTGGGAGGAGGAGGCAACAAGCGCTGCGGGAGCCAGATCCCAGGCCTCCTAGGCCAGAGGAGCATAGGGAGTTTACAGTATTCAAGCAACATGAGAATACCACCAGAGAGGTTTCCAGAAGTTAGAGGGAAGAGCATGGTGGGATTTGGTTGGTGTGACGGCTCACACTGACCTGCTGGGTTCTGCTCTGTGCTCTGCAGGGGACCCCCCACCCATCTCCCCGCACCCCATCGTCGAACAGACAGAGGTTTGGCCCCCTCGGATATTGCTCGGAAGAAGCCCCCAGTCTGGTCTGCCCACTTTCTAAACCACAGGGCTTGTTCTGCAGTGCCTGGCGTGAGGCCCTGGGCAGAGAGGGCAGCCTGGCTTATCAGGCTGTGGCCTCCGAGAGCAAACAACCTTCCAGCGGACTTGGTACCTGGCGGAGAAGGGAGCACAGAAGGGCCGGGGCAGCAGGCAGGGCCTGGTCCCGGCCAGCAACTCCGGGCGACACACAGTCAGTGTGCTGCCCCCAGGCCCAGCGCTGTGCGACCTGCTCCCTCATCTGCAATGCTTTCCCCACCAGCCCGCACATAGGTTGCTGGCCTGCACTCGGTTCCTTCCAGCAAGCCCCAGGAGGAGCACGGCGCGCACCTGATCCACTGTTCAGATGAAGAGACAACCAAGGCTGGCTGAGGAGTGAAGTCTGGCTGCCCAGTCACAAGCCAGAGGTAGCCCCATTTTAGTCTTTCAGCAGAAGGCATTCAGCTAACCCAGCAGCAGGAGGCGCAGCCTGCGGTTTTGCTCTAGTGACCTTAGGTCAGTGGCTCCACCTCGAGCCTCTGGTTTTGGTTTTTCTTTTTTTGTTTTTGTGGAGTTTTTTTTTTTTTTTTTTTGAGATGGCATCTTGCTCTGTCACCCAGGCTGGAGTGCGGTGGTGCGATCTTTTTTTGAGATGGCATCTTGCTCTGTCACCCAGGCTGGAGTGCGGTGGTGCGATCTCGGTTCACTGCAACCTCCGCCTCCCAGGTTCAAGTGATCCTCCCACCTCAGCTTTCCAAATAGCTGGGATTACAGGCACGTGCCACCACACCTAACTAATTTTTGCATTTTTAGTAGAAACGGGGCTTCACCATATTGGCCAGGGTGGTCTGAAACTTCTGACCTCAAGTGATCCGCCCGCCTCGGACTCCCAAAGTGTCGGGGTTACAGGCGTGTGCCACCACACCCAACCTGATTTTTTGGTTTTTCAAAAAAATGTTTGTAGAGATGGGGTTGTGCTATGTTGCCCAGGCTGGTCTCAAGTTCCTGGGCTCAAGTGATTCTCCTGCCTCTGCCTCCCAAAGTGCTGGGATTATAGGCGTGAGTCACTGTGCCTAGCCAGAGCCTCAGTTTTTTTAATCTGCCAAGTGGACCTGCTAAGCTCAGGCAGATCAACTTCTGGAGCATTTGAAATGATAACCATTCAGGTCTCAAGGAAATGATAGGTTTATCCCAACACCAAGATACTCTCTTTCTCTCAATCTCTCTCTCTCTCTCTCTCTCTCTCTCTCTCTCTCTCTCTCAATCTCTCTCTCTCTCTGCAAGTCAGGCTGAGAGTGAGCCTTCGGGTCTCTGGCAGCAGGAGGAGGATGTCCCTGCCCTTGACCATTAACAAGCCCCGCCCCTGCACCGCGACACAGGACATGGGCGGAACTTACGCAATCCTCCGGCTCTGTGCGCTGCTGAAGCCTGCAAAGGAGGCGCTCCGGCCCACAAGCCCCACAGCCCCTGTGTCCCCAGGGGACAGGAACCGCAACCTCACTGACATGGCGGTCACCTGCAAGGAGAGGACAGGAGAGTCAGCCTGGCACCATCATCCGGCGAGTGCTGTCCACAGGTCAGCCACCTTCCACCACCACCTACAGACCTCACGACGGCCCCAGAGTGTTGTGGGGGCTGGTACTGTGCCCAGCTTACAGGTCAGCAAGCTGAGGTCCCATAAGGGTAGGGGACCTGATGGGGGACAGTGATGGGAACAGAATTCAAACCCAGGTGTCTGTACTCTGCACTCTGTGCTCAGGTACCCTAATGCCGGGCAATGCTGCCTCCCAGAGCAGGAGGACGGCACCTCCTGAACACAGCCCTCTCACCCCCACAGACACTCCTCTCCCTCCTCCAGCCCTCCCTGAGCACCTAACACAGGTGAACTCTGCAAGGCAGGCCAAGTCCCCCCATCCTCAAGGGCCGAACGGTCATGCTACAGAGTCTGTGTTGGAGTGATGGGGGTCCCCAGAGGGCATCTGACCCAGCCGTGAAGAGGCGCCCAAGAGCTGAGGAGGAAGGCTGACGTGGGGTGAAGGGGAAGGGTGTCCAAGGCCGAGGGAACAGCCTGAGCAAAGGCCAGGACGCATGAGGGGCCTTGGTGTCATCCAGAAGCAGCAAGAAGCTCAGTGGGCTAAAGATGAGGTCAGAGAGGCTGGCAGGGCTCGGGTCCCGAGGGGCCTTGGTAGCCTGAAGGAGGGGCTTGGCCTTACAATGGGGCAAGGGTGACTGGGAGCCATGGGAGGGCCTTGAGAAGGGGGTGAAAAAGCCCAATTCACATGAAGCCAGGCTGCTGGCATCAAAGCTGCTTCCACCCCAATCCATTGCCCCGTCTCTGACCCGCCCTGCAATGGGGTCAACGCTGAGCCCTGGCCATCTTCTCTTTTTTCCAAACCATCTCTAGATTGGGAAAATGCCACCCTACCCCTTGGGAATGTAGGTCAGCGTCTTCCAGCACAGGCACCTGGAAAGTTCTCCTTCATATCTAACCTAAATCTCAGCTGCTATAGTTTCATACTTTGTTCCTTTGCCAGGGTAGTGTCAATCCAAGGATTCCAGGGACCCCACTGCCCAGATAAAACCTATGAAAAAGCTCCAGTCCACCTAGGCCCTCATCTTCCTGCACGATGAGACCCCCATGTTCCAACATCTCTTTCCCCCAGGGGCCAAGTCCACGCTGCCACACCTCTGCTCACTTGGGGGCCTCTGCCTGGAAAAACTTCCTCTATCGAGCCACATCTGCGCAGCATCTACTACTGCATCTCCTGGCAGATCTGTGCAGCCTCCACAAGCCTCCTCCCATATATCCCCCACCCCACAGCCCCACATGTGCTGTACACAGGAAAGCTTGGCAACAAAGAAAGTGGATCTGGGTTCAAATCCCAGCTGTGCCACTCAGGCTCTGGGCCTCAGTGATCACAACAGTAAAATGGGAATTCAGAAAGGACCTCCCGTGGAGACTGCTGGAAGGACCAAGGAGAGCACGTCCTGAGAGCCCACAGTGTGCAAGAGACACGTCAGAAGGGCTGGCTCTCTCTGTGCAATTGGCTAAGACCCCAGCCCTGCAGGTGAGCCAGGTGACCCAGATGACCCAGGTGACTCAGGGAGAGCCAAGTGAGAAGTGAGCGGCTTCTAGCCCTGATGGAGGAAGGTGGCAAGCATTTGCTGACCACTCACTGTGTGGCAAGCCTGGTGCCGTGAGTGGCTACGAATCCATGAACAGCTATGAACCCATGACTAGCAGCGTTGTGTACAGATGGGGAAGTTGAGGCATCATTCATCAAGTGCTCATTACTCATTACTAAGCTGGCCCTGCACTAAATGCTTTATGTAAATTATGAAATCCACATAACCCTCTTAAGAGCAGGAGCTTTTGATGACCTAATTCCATAGATGAGGAAACTGAGGCTCAGAGAAGTGATGAGACTAGCCCAGGGGCCCCAGCAGGGCACCTGAGCACTGGGTTTAGAACCAGTGGATGCCCGATGTCAGAGCTTGTCTCACCTGCAGTCAGGAGTGCCTTGCATTGGGGCCTTGCAACGCCCCCCCCCAATAAAGAGGTCCCCCACAGTCCCCTCCTGTGCTGTGCTGTGCTGTGCTGTGCTGAGCCAGCTTGTACTAGCTCACAAGAGTCAACTGGGCCAGGCACAGTGGCTCACACCTGTAATCCTAGCACTTTGGGAGACCAAAGCAAGCAGATTGCCTGTGCTCAGGAAGGAGTTCAAGACTAGCCTGGGCTACATGGTGAAACTTCGTCTACTAAAATACAAAAAATTAGCTGGGGGTTGTGGCAGGCACCTGTAGTCCCAGCTACTCAGGAGACTGAGGCAGGAGAATCGCTTGAACTTGGGAGGTGGAGGTTGCAGTGAGCTGAGGTCATGCCATTGCACTCTAGCCTAGGCAACAGAACAAGACTCTGACTCACAAAAAAAACAAAAAAAAAAAAAAAAAAGAGTCAATTGTTAAATGTTCAGGAATTTTGTGAGCCTGTTGACATCATGTTGGTGGTTTGAAATCAGCCACAGTAAGAGTATTTACACCACAGAAAGTGGCAAGTTCTACAAGTTAGAGTTTCTGTCTGCTGCTTGTTAAATATTTATGAGCTCCTCACTGCTGTTGCCCCGATCAGCACCTATGCAGGGCCTGAGAAGCTGCTCAAACTGCTTGATCCCCCCCAGCCAAGCCAGGCAAGAGATAAGGACGGAGTAGGGAGGGATTCCCCAAGGTGTGTAGTTGGGACATGCTCTGGAGCCAGCCTGGGGACTGGAGCTGAAAGGGGTCTCCCCAGCCCCTCCCTCTGCACCTCCCCATCAGAAGCCTTCTGGGCCATTCCTGGAGCTTCACCTCAGTCACTCCACTTCAAGGTCAGAAAGAAGGACAATTGCTAAGCAGTTCCTCCCCATGCAATGCTCAAAACAAGCCCCAGGTCCTCCTGCTCAGTGTGAGAGAGAGGAGGACAAAGGAGGGGAACTAAGGCTCGGAGCAGACCTGCAGAACCTGACAGCAGATTCATCACTCACAGCACTATGAGGTTCAGTGGCCCCATTTTTCTTATGAGGAAAGAAAGGCTCTGAGAGGTGAGAGGCAACTCAGGGACACATATATTTCTTTCTTTATTTCCTTTTCTTTCTTTCTTTCTTTTTTTTCAGACAGGGTCTGGCTCTGTTGCCCAGACTGGAGTGCACTGGCACAATCTCAAGCTCACTGCAACCTCCACCTGCTGGGCTCAAGCCATCCTCCCACGTCAGTCTTTCAAGTGGCTGGGACTACAGGCACACCACACCCAGCTAATTTTTGTATTTATTGTAGAGACGGTTTCACCATGTTGTCCAGGCTGTTCTTGAACTCCTGAGCGCAAGTGACCCACCCACCTCAACTCCCCAAAGTGCTGGGATTATAGCCGTGAGCCACCATGCCTGACCAGGACACACATTTTTCAAACTGAAGTCTGGCTCTTCCTTCTTCCATGTGCCATCGCCACATGGATTGGCTTCCTGGCTAAACCCTCCTCATCTTTCAGTCCACGTGTCCCCTCCCCCAGGAAGCCTTCCTGGACACCTCCCCACTCCTAGCTGTGTCCGGTGTTTCCTCCGGACGCCCCTGACTTCCTCTGTTAGAGTGGACTGTGAATGGTGACTTGTCTATCTCCCCATCCTAGACAGGGAGCTCCCTGCAGGCAGGGAGCAGGTGCATGGAAGATTGATAACGCATCTTTATTGAACCAGAAAACAACGAAGGAAAGGTTGACGCTGCTTCCCCTACTTCACCAGGTTGTGCAACCCGAGAGGAGGGTGCTGGAATAATAACAGTAATAATAATAATAACCACTATGTACTAGACTCTAAGGCAAAGATGGACAAATGTTTTCTGTGAAAAGCCAGATAGAAAGGCTGGGCGCGGTGGCTCACACCTGTAATCCCAGTACTTTGGGAGGCTGAGGTGGGTGGATCACCTGAGGTCAAGAATTCGAGATCAGCCTGGCCAACATGGTGAAACTCTACTAAAAACACAAAAACTAGCTGAGCGTGGTGGCACAAGCCTGTAGTCCCAGCTACTCTGGAGGCTGAGGCAGGAGAATCGCTTGAATCCGTGAGGCAGAGGTTGCAGTGAGCCGAGATCGAGCCACTGCACTCCAGCCTGGACAACAGAGCAAGACTCCATCTCAAAAACAAACAAACAAAAAGCCACATAGTACATATTTTTGGTTTTTCAGGCCATACAGTTTTTGTCACAACTACTCACTTCTAGCATTAATTTAGAGCAAAACCAGCTGCATTATTAATTCATTCATTACGTAAATGAATTATGCCATGGCTGTGTTTCAGTAAAACTTTATTTACAAAAGCTGCAGCAGCTGTTGAGGATGATGGGTGGCCCTGCCTCTGACCCTTGGGTAGCCAGCACTGCTTGCTACCTGCTCTAAGGACTTAAAATTGTCATTTCATTCTCCAACACCATATGAGACAAGTACTATTATTATCCCCCATTTTGCAGATAAGGAAACTGAGGCTCATGCCAGGCATGGCGACTCGCCTGTAATTCCAGCACTTTGAGAGGCTGAGGTGGGTGGATCACTTGAGCCCCGGAGTTCGAAACCAGCCTGGGTCTCCTAGTGAGACCTGGTCCCTACAAAAAATACAAAAATTACCTGGGTGTGGTGGCGTGCACCTGTAGTCCCAGCTACTGCGGGAGGCTGAGGTGGGAGGATCACTAGAGACTTCCCGGCAAGTCGAGGCTGCAGTGAGCTGAGACTGCACCACTGCACTCCAGCCTGGCTGACAGAGTGAGACCCTGTCTAAAAAGAAAGAAAGGAAGGAAGAAAAGAAGGAAAAGAAAAAGGAAAGAAAGAAAAGAAGGAAACCGAGGCTCATAGAGGACGGAAATGAGTCCTCTGAGGTCACACAGGTAGGAAGTGCCAGAGCTGGAAGTGGACCTGGGCGCGTGGACTCCAAAGCCTGGCCTCGGGACTAGGCTGCACTTGCTCCCGGAGCGGAGCTCTGCTGAGGACACGCCCCCCTCCCAGAAGCCAGATCTCCTCCAGGAGGGAAGAGGCCCCAGGATGGAAATAGGATTGGGAGGGGGACCTGCCAAGCTAGAAAGGTAGCCCTGGGTGGTGGCTGAGAAAAATCAAGCCCAACCTCTTTTGGCTTCAGGGTGTTACAGCCCCAACCCCTGTGGGCCCCTTGGGGCCGGCGGACAGTGACGGTTCCCAGGCAGCTCAGCTGCGCCCCCTCCCGGCTGGGCCTAGCGGGGCTGATCCATGACGTTGACCTGGAGCCCAGCCAAGCTGTGTTTCTTGTGGTAAAAGAGACAGATCTTCCCCTGGATGATTGGGGATGGGATGGCCAGGCTGAGACCCAGAATCTCAGGAGCCTTCAGCGGACAGTTTCTGACAGGTCCAGTTTGTCACCTGCGACTAAGGGTGACATTCCTGATATTTAAGCACTCGCACAGCAGCAAGTGGAGGCTGGGTGCTGGAGCAGGGTCTTGAAGACCCTGTCCCCTCCCACCATGTGTCACTACGCCTGCTGGGGCTGGCATTAACCCTTTAGCTACCGGGTTGTGGGCAGGTCTAGGAGGTCCCTGGGGAGGCATCGGGAAGAGAGGAGGGACGCTTGGGGGGTGCTTAGGGCAGCCCCGGGTAACCAGCACTCTGCAGGCATGAGAGACAGGGCAGAGACCCTGCTGGGCCCCAGGGCAGAGCAGGGAGGCACAGAGTCATGCAGTTTCCAAACCTTTGGTGGCAGACAGGACAGCCTCTTCCACTCCGTGTCCCTCGCTGCCTCTCTCTGGCCTGGCACTTAGAACCGATGCCGTTCAGACCTGGCCTGGAGAGGAAGCCAGGTGCTCCCAGACACACTGGGGACTGTCCTGGACCTCCGTCCCCAAGGTGTGGCTGGAGGGAGCAGAGCCCACTCCCGCTAAATCTGTCCTGCTCACTGCTGACCGAAGCTGCCCTGCGTCTCCTCCCCACTGCCAGCCAGAGGGAACCTGCAATTTCACCTCATTTAGAGGTAAAACATCTAAATTTAACGTCATGGGCTTTCGGGGCTGGGTGGCTTTTATGCCTGAGTCCCTCACTTAGGGCTCTTTTTTATCCACTCAAATGCCAGCCAGGGCTTAGTTTGCTTATAGGAGTTTCCAAAATAGCTCCTTTGGTTTCGCATGAAAGGAAATGGCAAAATAGCCCAGGAAGAGGAATGTGAGTTTACACAGAAGACAGACGGGCGCCCGAGGAGGCTTCTCTGGGAACCAGTTTGCCTGTACCAGAGGGAGCCCGAGAAAGTGTGGAGTCCAAGAGTCCAACTCGCTCATTTTACCGATGGCAAGACTAAGCCCAGGATGGTCACACAACTTGCCTGGACCACCCAAAGGCGACTGGAAGAGCCAGAAGGACCCAAACTCCTCCTCCCTGCCAAAGCACGGGCCTCAGCCGGAGCTCCCCTCCAGCCTTTGCCCTGGCTGTGCCCTCTGCCTGGCACACCCCTCCCTTCCCCCAGGTCTTCCGTATCACTCTCTCCCAGCCTGCAGGCCTCACAACCAAGGCCACCGCCTCAGAGAGGTCCTCGCTGACACCCTTGGCTAATGTGGCCTTGCCCCTCACCCGTATTCTTCAAAGAACTCACGGTTCTGACTGTCTTATTCATCAGTTAATCAAGTATCCTTCTCAAGAATCTTAGCTCCTGGGGGCAGGGAGTTTTTCTGTCTTTTTAAAAAAAAATTTTGGGGCCAGGCACACGCCTGTAATTATGGGCTCATGCCTGTAATCCCAGCACTTTGGGAGGCTGAGGCGGGTGGAACACCTGAGGTCAGGAGTTCGAGATTAGCCTGGCCAACATGGTGAAACCCTATCTGTACTAAAAATACAAAAATTAGCCAGGTGTGGTGGTGGGCTCTTGTAATCCCGGCTACTCAGGAGGCTGAAACAGGATAATCGCTTCAACCCAGGAGGTAGAGGTTACAGTGAGCTGAGATCACACCATGGCACTCCATCCTGGGCAACAAAGTAAGATTTCATCTCAAAAAAAAAAAAAAAAAAAAAAAAAAAAGAAAGAAAGAAAAAAAGAAAAAAGAAAAAAATATATATATATATTTTATAGAGATGGGTCTTGCTATGTTGCCCAGGCTGGTCTCAAACTCCTGGCCTCAAGCGATCCACATGGTGTGAGCCACCATGCCCGGCCTGCTTGTTTTTAAAGAATGTATTTAAATGAAAAGAGACAAATTTAAAGGACCCTTGGTTTAAATAGAGCAGGTTGGAACCACCCTCACGGCAGCCCATGGTCCTGGCTCTGCCATCCTCCAGAACCACCTGGAGCCAG